AATAGCATTACAAGCTAAATCTTAGAAAACTTTGTCGAAGTTATTTATTTTTAAGAGACAATATTTGTTTTTTTTCGAATGATTTTATTGTTCTGAATTTTATGTGTTTCGCGAAAAATGTTCTTATTTCTTAGTGAAAATGTTGAGTGTGAGTGAACGACGGTCTTCTCTTCATTCACCCACATTTGGTAAATATGTCTACAGTCAATACGAATTCTCTTTTGCAGAACCCTTAAAAAAACTTACTATTTGAGGATGGGTGCCTCGGTGTGAAAGAAATATCAACAGCCATACTGCTTCGAAATGAGTTTCTGCTCAAATGAAATGATATTGAATGTTCTCAAAAAAAAACTTAGACAAAGCTGACAGATTTAGAGACGATATCATTGGTTGGTGAATTGTGTTAATGGACTTCATCGTGCTTAATCGTTAGTATTTGGACATCTGAAGTCGAATCCGTGTCATTATGAAATCATTTATTCGGGAGCTTTTGTGTTGAGAACGAATTGTGCTGCATCGTAGGAGGAGTGTTCAACTTCGATCGGAATTGATTTGATAATGATGAACCATTTAACTTTCATATTCTACATTATATGAATGTACAGGATCATATACATACTTAGATGGTCTCTTTGCTCCAATAATAGACCACGCACAGTACTTTTCGTGATCATAAAATGCGACGAAAACAGATCGTTCAATGACGTATGTGTACAAATTGAATCTATCCAGAATCGGAATCAAGAGTATGATAGAGTTTTCTGTTTTATTGTTTGAAGACTCAAACTTGAGAAAAAAAGAAGACGCATACCCACACACCCCTGGAAGGGGTTCTTTTTTATTAAAATCTTATGATTTTTTTCTGTTCGACTAAAATGTCTTTTGTATGATAGATCTATGTCTGTCGACTTCTATTTTCACATATGAGTTCATAATGACATCCGTCTTGAATAGACTTACCAAATCTGTCAATTTAGCCCCAAGACTGATGGTTCTTAGATTTTTCTTCTCGTGAAGAAATCTCTTGGATTTCAGAACTGATTTTTAAGATTTTCTCCCGGTTTTAGAGGTTCTGGTCACTTTGAATTTTAATGGCATGTTGAATCAATAAGAAAACATATTGTAGCTGCTGAAGTTCTCTAAAATAAAGAAATTCTATGTCAAGAACTTGTGTATCCTTCAATAAAAAGAAAGAACTTTGCATTTATTGAACGCTTTTGTTGCAAGAAAATGACCTTATTAATGTGAAAAATTTATTAGAAGACGATCTTTCGCTATAATCTTCACCACAAGTAGTAATAATTGTCAATTCTGTTTCAATATAAAAATCAATGAAAACTATTGAAATGAAATTGCACATCAGAAAAATATACTCATGTTGAAAAAGTTCTACGAATGGTACGATTACTAATTTATTATTTAAATGTATTCATGTCAGTTATTCAAATCGATTTTCACTTAAAATTCATTTTATAATTTGTCACTATGTTTTAATGCATGACTGTATAATTACTAACAATATAACGAATATGCATTTACCTTTCTTTTTTGTCTTATATGTTACTTAGAGGAAAAATTTTGCCTTTTCCCATTAGGCAACAGAATATAAGAAGTGTTTTATTGAACGAAAAATCTTCCAGTTTTTGAATCTGGAACATGATAACTCTGATTTCAATGGAAATATCATTCAGAATGACAGTTCACTAGCTACACATGTGATCGGTTTTGGTGTTAACGATTTAAACATAAACATTTCTATTAATCTAGTATGGCAAAAATAGTCGTTCTAATGCAATGCACTATATCATATATGCTTTTAGACAGTGAGATCATATATGGAACGAGTACCATCAGTAATTTGAACCAAATGACAAAAAAGTTATTCATGAAGGAATGAATGTCTGATGAAAGACTAGATGACAAGGATAGAGTTTTCATCCAACATTTTAACAACATCTTGAATAAATTCATCGTCAAAATCAATACGAGAACTCGATACATTTCTATTAAAGAAATAAACAGTACTCATATGATTCGGACTAAAGAAAAATCTCCAGTATACCAATCAGTATAATGTGCGTTATGTCGGTTGTTTTTGTTGAAAGTGCTGAATTATGGGTGTGGGTGTGGGTTTGGGTTGAAGTAACTATCGCCCACACCCACACCCTAATTGAAGAAAATATTTTTTTGGAGAATAAACTATATTAAAAATTTTAATTAAAGAAAAACTAAAATATATATTATTTTCTTTCATTAAAATAAATCTAAATAGAGCAATTGAGCACAATATGTCTTGATAATGATTCAATTATTTTGAACAACTCTTTCTCATGAAATCTGTTAAATGTTTCCTATCCATTTGAATGTATTCTTTAAACTTGTGAGTTATATTATTTTAGCAAAAAGATATTTATTCTTCTTCATGAAAAATAAATACAAAACATATTCGCAATTATAAAAACACGTTGTCAAAACTCTTAGCATACAATTCTAAAAAAGAATAAATACTAAAGTTAGTTGAAAAAGTTATTTAAATCTCGACTTATTCTAAAATTCAATGGTCTTATTGATATTAATATTCGATTATTAACAGAGTTCGTCAATTTCATATTCTTTTACATATAACGGAAAAACTTCTTTTTTCTATAGAATCATATTTTGAAGTAGAAAAATTTTAAGTTTTTCTCCTCGCAACGAAATCCATTATCGTCAAATCTATTGAAATTAAGATAAATGCATGGAAAGATAGCTTGAAATTAGAACTTTCGCACTCACATCTTTTTTAACGAAAAATTTCAGTGATTACTGTTAAATTTTTCTTGAAAAACCATATTCTTTTTAGCAAAAATGGTAAATCTTTTTCTGTTTATATTTTATTAATCATGCATCCTACAATAGTCGAAAGAACTTCATTATATCCAAAAGTTCTGTTTTGTTTAAAAGAGCATTTGAAAGTATGTGTGTATGCCTGAAAGAGTCTTTTGCTTTTTTTATTATATAAAAAAGTTTTTCCATGAACATTTTTCGACGTATTGAAGATGTCATCCTTTTTCTCAGTATAACAAATAAGAATTAGAATAAAAAAATGTGTCAGACACTGTAGTCAGACATACTCTGTCAAATAAGAATAAATAAATATATAAAATCATGGGCCATAAAGAAATGAGTATTTCGAAATGAGCTACTTTTTTAAGGTTATTTGATGAATATCTCTCGAAAAAGTCATGTTAGACATTTAAGAAAACCGTGTATACACTGTTTCAACCAAGAGTTTTCTGAAAAAAACGTGTTCGGTATGCACACTTTTGTCCAACTCACAACTTTCATAGAATGTTTTTTCTTTGTCTGATAGCTCTACTTAGCTAGCGCCAAGAGACATGGGCACTTCTGGACTTAGATAAACGTTTTCTTTAGCAAACCTTGTTTTTCAAAGATTCTTCGCATTCTTTTCTTTCGAAAGTACTAAAAACAATACGGACGTATTTAGAATTATACGAAAACCTATACTTCCTAAACATTTTTCATTGCAAAAATGTTCTTTTACGAATTTTTTTTAAATATTGAAAATAAATATTCCTATGAAAAAAATAAGTCACATCCTCATTAGGCTTATTTTATACGACCAACCAATAATATCAACCAAAAAAAAAAGAAAAAAGACATCTATTGAGAATAAGAAAAAGAAATGTGAGTCATAAACGTTCGATGAAAGGAAGAAAAAGAACAACAATTACATTTGTGCCGTATTTAGTTTTCTATATTTTTTCTTCTACGTCATCATCTGCATCCAGAGCTGGGCAACTCAACTCAACTGAATTTCTGAGTTGAAATGAATTGAATCGGGCATATTTTTTTAGAGTTGATGAATTGTGTTGAGTTGAATTGAGAATAGTTTTCTGAATTGGTGAATTGAAATGAATTGAATCGAACATAATTTGCAAATGCCTATGAGTTGGATTGAATTGAGTCGGAAAAAAAAGTTATAATCAAGGAATTGAATTGAATTGAATTGGAAAAATTTTCGTGAATTCGTTGAATTGAATTGAGTTGAAAAATTTTCTTCGAGATCTATGAATTCAATTCAATTCAACTCAGAAAAATCTTGCAAAACTTTGCTGTATGATTGATTAATATAATAAAATTGGAAATAGTCAGTGCATGATTATGATTTAGTTTTTAGTTGTTATCCAAGTCTTTTGTTCCGACGTGGCTGATTTAGTACACGTTTCAATATATTTACATATATCTATATATTATATTTGTCTGAAAATTCCTTAATCTTATCGTTATTTTCTTCCTTTATCTGTTCGGTACGTTTATAAGCTTTATCTATTAACGTTTTCAATGCGCCGACGTGTATATCGATTCTTGCGGATCATAGGTGCAATGTCTATTTATCTGTTTATGTACAAGGCAAACATTTTACATGGTATTTGCTTTGGTGAACTGATATAATATCAGTTAGATAATGTAATAGACGATGGTGGAGTTAATGATAAGAAAGAATCGATGTTTATTATGAAAAAACATGGAGTTTACATACAGGATAGGTGACAGTTTAGAAAAGTAGAGAAACTTCTTCGATTTGTTTAAAATAAACCGCTATAAGGAGAATTAAGCAATCATTTTTTCTTATTCACAAAGTATATCGAGAAAAGAGATAGCATAACAGCTGATAAAAGGACGTATTAAGTGCATCAGCTGATTGCGGACAAACAAGTGCATATATCAGCTGGATAGAAAGAAACAAATATATATAGACATCAGATCGAGGGACGTAATAATATCTGTATTCAAAGATATCATCTCTACTAATGTATTCATCTTTTGTCCAAAAAGATTCGATATAACTGTATTTTCATTCTTACTTCACTATCCTTGTTGTATAAATACTGGAAATTATTCTGTAGTGAATAAATAACATTTTTTTTCGTTTTACAAATAAAACGCTAAACTAGCTTTAACAGGAAGTGATATCAATCTTGTTCACCGATTTTATCATGTCATCTGATACTACTGAAACATCATTACAATCTTCAATTGTTGTATCTGGTACAGCAAGCTCAACTGATGTAAGTTCTGCTACAAAATCTGGTGAAAAAACAGCACGTGATCAATTTTATACTGATATTAAAATGATGGATGAAAAGAAATCATGGCAGGCAACATGCAAAATTTGTAAAGGTACAATACGTGGAACCAAAGGTGTTACTTCCAATTATAATCTACATATTAAAGATTTTCATCCAACTGAATATAAATCATGGCAAGAACAATTACAGTCCATAAGTTTAACGGGTCAAAAAAAATTACCGATACAATAACTGTTCAAAAAGTAAAGTATTATTCATCAAGCTCAACGTATTCGAATATTCATCCACGTCAAGTTGAATTACAAAAATCCATCGTTGAAAATTTAATAATCGAGCTTGGTCTTCCTTTATCACTTATTGAACGTCCAGCTTTTATTAATTTTATGTCTCATGTTGATCCTAGATTTTCTACAATTAGTCGACGTACACTAACTCGTACAATATTACCAAACTTATACACAAAAATGTTAGATGGCTTAAAATCGTTCTGTTCAATAGCAACGTCTATTTCATTGACCTTAGATTTATGGACAGACAGAAGACAACGTGCATTTTTTGCTTTGACAGGTATAAACAATACTATATGAAGACTACTATTAGAAAGTTAATTTATATATATTCACTTTTATAGGACATGCAATTATTAATTCGGAATTTAAATCATATGTCATGTCTTTTCAACCAATTTATGGTAATCACCGAGCGCCTTTATTATTGGATGCATATGAAGCATGTATTAGTAGTTTTAATATACAAGGAAAGCTCGTACGATTAGTTACAGACAGCTCTTCAAATAATATTGCAGCATTTAGTAGTTTAATTATATCTGGTTTTGAATCTTATTTTCAAGATGACGATGATAAATTATATTCAGATTGGTGCAGCGATGGTGAACAAATCGAATCAGATGAAACTACAATTGATAATAATATGTCATTGGACGCTCAAGATGTTCTTAAACAATTTCTTGATTCAATTGTTATTGATGATGATTCATTTCGTTTGCCCTGTTACGGTCATTCAATTCAGTTAGTTGTCAAAGATGGTTTAAAAGGTTCAACTTGTGTTCAGTCTTCATTAGAAAAAATTTCGAAAATAGCCAAGTTATCTCATTCTTCAACAGTAGTAGCGGAACGTCTTGAAAGTATTCAAGTATGTATTCCAAATGCCAATAAAACTCGTTGGAATTCACAATATGAAATGGTTATGACTATAATTAGTATTCAACCATCTGATTTAAATGAGATTTTAATACAAACACAACATCGAGAATTATGTCTTAAATCATTAGATTATCAAATGCTTAATGAATTTGTTTCTTTATTAACACTTTTTGCTGAAGCTACAACTATTACACAAGCACAAAACACTCCTTCAATTTCGATTGTAGCTCCTTCAATTTTAGCTATTTATGATGATCTTTTACTTGAACGGGCAAACGTTAAACATGCATCAAGTTTATGCGAATGTTTATTAGAATCACTTTTATCTCGTTTTGGTGGTATGTTAGAGCAAATGTTATTAGTAATTGATATTTCGGAAAAGAAAAAAAAGAAAAAATTTTATGATCTTTTTAAAGATCCTGTCTTTTTATTAGCACCATTTTTAGATGGTCGATTTCGTTTAAATTGGATATCAGGTTCATCTCTTTTGGAACAAGTACAAGAAGAATTATCTAGCAAAATACAGCAATTTGTATTAGAACAATGTATTTTACTTGAACGAGCTAATGTACCATCTGGAACATCAGATAATGATAATCCAACGCTAAGTCCAATAGCACAAACACAATCATTATCTGCTTGTGCTGCAACAAGTCCTATTACACCAAAACGAAAATATTTATTTACAAACGTTGTCAAGGAAACAAAAAAGCCTAAACCTGATCCATTCAGTTATATTAAAGATGAAATATCCAAATATTTGAATGATGAAAATACAGATGCTATGGTTCTTTTAAAATCTTCGAACATTTATCCAACACTATCCAAATTAGCAACGAAAGTTCTGTCGATTCCTGCAACTTCTGCTCCTGTAGAGCGTGTTTTTAGTCAAAGCGGATTTCTGTTTCGCCAACACCGTGCATCAATGACACGTACTACTTTACAACAATTAACAATGCTCAAATGCAATCGTGATCTATATTAAATATATGCTTTGGGGCATTATTTTTATCAAACTTCATCAATTTTTTCTCTACTATTTTCTTTTCTTATTATTTATCACTTTGTTTATTTATTAGTTGATTCGAAATTTTTATTATCCTGTTGTATTTCGTTGTAAACGAAACGATTTTTTTATAAGATCAACAACAATAAAGTCTTTTTAACGCGTTCAACTAAGGATAAACCAGAACAAAATTTATTACATAGAATTTTGTAATAATACTGAGTTGATTTCAACTCAATTCAGTAATTGAATTGAGTTGAATTGAATTTAAAAAATTTTTTTAGCATACATGAATTGAGTTGAATTGAGTTGAAGAATGCTTCTCAACACGCATGAGTTGAACTCTAAGAAATTCTGAAATTATACGGATTGAATAGAATTGAGTTGAGAAAAGTTTTCAACATAAACGAATTGAATTGAATTGAGTTGGAAAAATTTTTCAGAGATCGCCGAGTTGAATTGAATTGAATTGAACTTTTCTTTCAATGAATTGAATCGAATTGGACACCTTTTTGAGTTGAGTTGCCCAGCTCTGTCTGCATCTAATTCTCTTGTTATTAGTCAAGGTAAATCAAAAGAGGCTTTGATTCACTTCATATTTCTCAAGTAAGAATTATCAAATAGAATTTTTTTCTACAATTTATATTTTATTTTAGCGTACTATTAAAGTCGGAAATATTTCTCAAGATTTATCTATTCAACAATTGGAGAATTTATTTACTGATAATCAAATTGAAGGAATTGAAAGTATTCATATTCCAGTAGATAATCTTGGTTTTCAATTTGGTTTTTTATTCATTACATTTAATTCAAGTCAATATTTTGAAGATTTTTGTTCAAAAATTGATGATAATAGTAAATTTTTATATATTACGTACGTAATATATATCTCAAGTTTTGAATCAAAAATCAATATATATTTTTTTCTTTTAGAGAAAGAAAATACAACGGTCCTTTCATTGTTGAACCACATGAGCTACCAGATTGTAATTTAAATAATCAACAAGAAATTGAGTATGATTGTATATTAAAAAATTAAGGTATGTGAAAAAAGTTCGCTTCATTTTTTTTGTCGATGTATTTTTGCAACTGCTTGAGCAATTTCGATCAATAAATAGTCATTTTAAAGAGCATGTAAAAGTGTACTTTTGATGTAAAAATCAAGACTCTAGCTCAACTAGTAAGCGAGGAACGATGAAAAAAGTTTGTTATGTGTTTTTCGCTCTTAGAAAACAGTTCCATAATGTAAATAAACAGAATATGAAGCAAATTATTTTCATCTTGTATATATTTATTTTTATTTATTTTGACAACAAAAACTAACTGTAGGAAAGATAAATGTACAATAAAAGAATCATATATTTATTCTACGCATAAACGACATGTACAATGCTGTTTAAATCTAGTAACGCTACCTCCCCATGTGATGAAAACCGGAAGAAATTCGGCGGTTTACCGCGGTTTTACCGGTCCGGTTACCGGCTCCCATTACCGCAATTTGCATGGTATACCGCGGTTTACCGCTAAAAATGATCCGGTATTTGCGATATGGATCTTTTTTTGTTTACAATTTCTTTCATTCTTAATGGCATTTGATGTACAGCCTTTCTTAAAATTTTTGAATCTAATGATTTCCATGCTTTCATAATTCGTCGTTTTAATTCGAGTAAAGATTTTGGCTGGTCTTGTCCTTCTCCATAAACTTTATTCGTTATAACGGCCCATATACGTCCAATACACCATAGATCATCCATTTTTGCAGGAGTTTCATGTTTATCAAAAAAATTAGGAACATTTTCAATCAAATATTCTAGAGCAACATCAGCATCATGACATTTCGCATGATCTTGTTCGAATATCCAATCTTCATTATCATAAAATAATACTGTTGTTGTAATATCATCAGTTTCTTCAATTCTTTCTCGAACATCAGTTAAAGTTGGTAATACCTCATTTACATAGCGTTCACCATCAATATTACCATTAATGAAAACCAATTGTGTTAAACCTTTACTTGTCATACCGCCATAAACGTGTAAACCTTTTGAATGTTTTCCCACTTCCCATGAATCTAATTCTTCACTATCATATACCCATCGTCCATGATGTTTTGGATTACGACCACCGCCCAACAAAAAAACTTGTGAATCAGTAATTAAAAGCTTGTTCCACCACAACAAATCTTGATCTTTATATGTTTTACAAAAGTTTAATCTTGCCTTTTTATGATAATCAGTTAATTTTGTTGCTCTTGGTCTTACTTTCCATTTTAATTCAGCATCATGTAATATGTGTTGCACTGTTTTATAACTTATATTCAATTGCAGACCTGCTTTTCTTAAACTAAACTTTTTATTGTGTCTTTTTCGCAATACCACCTTTTCAATTTTTCTTGAAACTTCAGGTCTACCTGTTCGAATACCATCAAAAAATGCTTTGGGATCATCAAAGCCAACATTTTTCCATTTTGTAATAAGAGTATCTGTGCATTTCAATCGTTTTTTAATTTGTTTTCGTTGAATTTCATCTTGTTCCATTTGATTAATGCGCACACGAATGATCAAATTTTTCAGTTGTTTATGTGTAAGACTTATTTTCTCATCTTTAGCTGGTGGTGAAGAGCCATTTTGGTTGAAACGTAACCTTTCTCTCCTTGCTTTACCCATCTTTTAACTTTCGTCTGCACAGAACATAGAGAAATAAGTCATTTTCATCTAACTTCTTCAGCCTATTGACTTTGCGACCATTCATTGTCTATCTCTCTTATGGAAATGTATATTGTTTATGTGAACCAGACGACCTATTGTGTGAAGAAGTTATATAAAGCGAGCATAACTGTCACTGTTGCAAGGATATTTTTCTCATGAACTTCGTCACAGAAAAAAAAGATGTTCTGTTTTCATTTGTACTTTTGTAATTTTAAATGTATAAAAAAAATTATCTCCAAAAAACATGAATGATATTCTCGCATCTATATCNGCATAGCATATTCCCATGTGCAAAATAAATGGAATATATAATTTTTTCGCTTAATTTCCTATATGATTATCATTTCATCTCAATTTAATATTACAGATATACCGATCATTACTGTATGCACTTCCAAAGTTTCAGTCATGAGTAAAGAGAAACGAATGAGAAAACTGAAAATCTATCTCGTGTACTCTTGCATTATTGTGAGAAATATTTATAAAGGAGGGAGGCGGATAAGGCCATTTTCTGGCCCCCAATATTTTTGCATAAAAATCATATATTCGGAATCAGCATCAAATTCTGAACAAAACGAGGTATTTTTTTACTACAAAAATGGATTTTATTTTTTTTGAAAAATTTTCGCTCCTATGACCCCTCAGGAACTTCGAAAATTTTTTTTTCTCAAATTTCTGTGAAACGTACATCATTCGATTCAGTTTTTCATGCTGATCATAAAGATCGCATCGAAAATTGAAAAAAATTCAATCTTGGTCGAAAAAAGTGGAATTTATGCAGAGGTGGCGCTAGTTACCTAATGAAGTTGATGTTGTTTTGGTGCACAATGGAAAGGTTTGGTAGCGCTGAAAACTCGCTATATATACTCAAAAACATATAAGCTTCCAGAATATTGCATTTAAAATACTTCAAATGCCAAGTTTTATTGTAAAATATCGTATTAAGGTCCAAAAACCGTGGAAAACCGTATCTTTGTTGAGTTGATTTTTCTCTATCGGTCTTAGTAGATGAGGTAGCAATCTGAAATTTATACCAGATATTCAGTTTTGAATACTCTACCAAATGAGCCTACTTTGGTTTGAAAACAAAATATGCTTTTTTTGAAAACCGGGTTTTTGAGTCGGAGGTTTTCCAGAAAACCTTTGAGATTTTTTTAAACATGCCGTTCGATAGAGCATAAAATTTGGAATAAAATGGTGTGTCGCTCAAATTTTTGCGATATTTGTCGGCTGAGATGTCAAACTTTCAAAAATCCAGATTTTTTGGTGGACCGTTTTCCTACCCAATCCTCAAATGCTGCAGTTGTTTGAAAAACGATCAGAAAAATTTGAGCGACACACCATTTTATTCCAAATTTTATGCTCTATCGAACGGCATGTTTAAAAAAATCTCAAAGGTTTTCTAGAAAACCTCCGACTCAAGAACCCGGTTTTCAAAAAAAGCATATTTTGTTTTCAAACCAAAGTAGGCTCATTTGATAGAGTATTCAAAACTGAATATCTGGTACAAATTTCAGATTGCTACCTCATCTACTAAGACCGATAGAGAAAAATCAACTCAACAAAGATATGGTTTTCCACGGTTTTTGGACCTTAATACGATATTTTACAATAAAACTTGGCATTTGGAGCATTTTAAATGGAATATTCTGGAAGCTTATATATTTTTGAGTATATCTAGCGAGTTTTCAACGCTACCAAATCTTTCCATTGCGCACCAAAACAACATCAATTTCATTAGGTAACTAGCGCCACCTCTGCATAAATTCCACTTTTTTTCGACCAGGATTGAATTTTTTTCGATTTTCGATGCGATCTTTGTGATCAGCATGAAAAACTGAATCGAATGATGTATGTTTCACAGAAATTTGAGAAAAAAAATTTTCGAAGTTCCTGAGAGGTCATAGGGGCGAAAATTTTTCAAAAAAAATAAAAATCATTTTTTTAGTAAAAAAAATACCTCGTTTTGTTTAGAATTTGATGCTGATTCCGAATATATGATTTTTATGCAAAAATATTAGGGGCCAGAAAATGGCCTTATCCGCCTCCCTCCTTTACTGCCGACACGAGCAAGAATGAATTTCAAATAGAATATCCATCGATTGGTGGCAGCGGTGGTCAATAAAAATTAATAGAACAAGACTGTGCTGCTGATCGATACACATTCGAAGAAGCAATCACACCTCCGACTGGCATTACACGAGATAGTGGCAGAATCATTATTAGTAAAGTTACCAATGATTATATGTCATACAGTTATTTTCGACCACCAACATTTGAAACTATGACATCATGGTCAACATTACGACGAGAAGCATAAGCAATGATTTAAGACTTTTCATAATACTTTTCAAGCGCTTCTCAACTTTGTAAGAAAATAAACAAATAACGCGACTTTTTGGTCGATAATCCCTCTCCTGAAAGGAGTACAATGTGATAAAAGCACAATAGCATGGCTAGTTCTAGAGTCTTGCATTCCACCCAGTGATCTCTCTGGTGTATAATCATTGACCAATGATCATAATGTGATTTGAAAAAATGAGATATTATCATTCTCAGTGAGCAACTGCGCTATAATCTTTTTTCTTTCACAACCTAGAGGGCTATATTAAAACATAATATTTTATCAGTTTTATTCTCACTCATTGAATAGCCACAGCCGAATAGACATGATTGATACATAATCACTTAATTAGTTCCAGTGGTCCGAAAGGTTCTTTTTACAAACGTCCTGTTCAGCAGCTAGTCGGGTGTGGATGTGGATGTGCGTGCGTGAGTGTGGATATGAGTGTGCACATGTGACGGTGCAGGTGTGTGAGTGTAGTTGTGGGTATCAGTGTGGGTGTGAGTATGGCTGTCTGTGAGATATTGGTTATCTTCTCGATAAAACTCACACTTGCTCTATGCTCACATCCACTCACCCTTGTTGCATATAATAATTGATTATTTTATAAGTGCATAGCTTTTTATGAAAAGAGAAAAGTCAACTGTTTGATTAGATGAGAGTTCTCCCGCTTATAGTTATGAAACTGCAATATATACGAATAAAAAAAACGATTGAGATTCATAAACTAGGATAATTTCGTGTCCAACAGTCAAAATGACTGAATTTCGATAGTATGTCATAATTTCAAGTATGAAGTACATGTTTTATTGGAAATTAAATCTCATATTTGGATAGAGCATGAAAATTTGCATCTATCTGGCATAGCCTTATTAATATTCAAGATCGTTATATGGAAGTCGAAGGCTCTAGAGAAAGTTCAGTACAGAGACATATATATTAACTAGTGAGAATCCGTGCATACTGCATGGCAGCTCTTTTTTCTTTAACGCATGACCTCAAACCTTTCACTCAGTAACAGACACACAGACACTCGACATTGTGTACATTGAAGTCCTACGACGTTATATTCTTATATCGCGTATAGTCCATGTAGTCTTACGGCCTTATAGCCTTACCTCTTTATAGCCTTACCTCCTTATAGCCTTACCCCTTTATAGCATTATCCCCTTATTGCTTTACTCCCTTGTAGTCTTACTCCTTATAACCATACCCCCTTATAGTCTTATTCCCTCATTGCCTTTTTTGACCTTTAACCTTTGACCCGACACAGACTGGGAATAAAACTTTTGTCTTCATCGATACAAATTCCATGTGCACACACTAAATTAAGCTGGTAGAAAAAGCTTATTACTTTATTGAAAATTGTGTGATCTTTAAAACGGCATTGTTAGAAAATGGCTCCGGCAAAGTTTTCATTGAGTATTAAAATCATTTTCTGAATTTGAACTAAGTGCTTAATATTATATCGAACGAAATAAAAAACACGCTGTTTTAAAATTTTTCCCACTACCTTACATTCATAGCCACATGCTATATACTTATCATAAGAAAATGAATTTTCCAGGACAATCTAATGTCAAATTACGAGTTATATCCCGTGAATTGAATGCATAACGGTGATTTTTAGCTATACATCATCGACATGATGCTGCATCCTTGCAGTAATATCTTTAGTTTGTCTCATTCATTGCATAGTGAAGCGGCAAAATTTGAATTCTTTAGAAAGGAGAATTTATCATGCTCTCATTGAAAAAAGCTTATCAGCTTTTTGATCATATAGCAACGATTCAATTAATGTTTATTCGCAATATGAGATTCTTGACTTTTTATGATAATCAGCAGCATCGATTAATTTGAAAGGAACCGGTTTGTTATTATTTACATACTTTAAAGATTGAAAACTACAATGTTTCTTATTGAACTCAAATACTTGTAATCAAATGAGAATCTTGGCGGGTGTGGGTGTGGGTAATTTTTGTTTTTTTTCTCAAAAGAACAGCAATGACTTTTACAATTAACGATATCTTCATGCAGATCTTTTCTCAATAGAAAAATTTTAGATTTTTTATTTTTTGTCTTCTGCTCTGTACACGATTCGAAGTATCTTCTAGCCACTGTATATATTTCAAAAAATTAATCGATAACTATTAGAGCTGGAAAAGTCTTAAAAGATGAAACATTTTCGCTACTTTTCAAAACCGAGTTTTCTCAAAAGAAAAAATAGATGAGAATCATCCCCGTTTCTCAACTAAAGTACATCCGATCGACCTATGCCAAGATTTACAAAAAAAACTCCAGTTAAAATAGATTTTTCAGCTTTTATCTGAACCGAATAAAATAAAAGAAAATCAAAAGAATTAGGCAACCGAAACAGTATCTAGTATCTAGAGATGTAAGTCGATCAACTGAGCAAGAGACGACGGAGGGGGGGGGCAGTTTTTGCTCTTGTAACAGTAATATATTCTATAAAAAAGTATTCGAAAAGTTTGAGTTTATGACAACTTTACCCCTATTGATCAAGATCTTTGTGTCCTAAAACTTTCAAAATTTTCTAATGAGCTATTTTCCAAAAGTCTCGAAAAAGAAGGCTTAGATCGCATACTTAACTGGTATAGATAGTTAGGTATGATCTGATTTCGAAAAAAAACTTTATTAAATAGCTATAAATATCAAGCACAAATATGAAACTTATATAATTCAATGAATTCTGTATAATTCAATATTGAAAAAAAAAACAATTATTATGCTATTCAAATCAGTTATCGATTGTGATCTATTCAAACAAAAAATTAGTCAGTAACAAAAACGAAAACTCATATCTAGTGACATCTTATATTCTCTAATAAGTGTAAAAAAAAACGTACGTCGCTAAGTAATGTTTCGAATCTTCATGGCGATGATAGAAAATAAAAAAATATGTTTTTGAAAAATAGAAGCGAAAAATATCTAAACGTTGATCAGGTTTGACTCCGTGAGTGATAATTAAATAATAAACTTGATTGTTTAAGCTTTTTTCTGTCTTAATAAAATACTATTTATTGAATATCCTTGTCATAGTGATTGTCGAAAAAAATGAAACTAATTCAGCACAAAACATTTTATAGTGACGAGAGCTCAGCATGAAATTCATTTACGACTACTCAGCAAGTAATTTCGATCTACCAATAAAAGTTATAGGTGAAAATGAGAAAAAAATCAGTCGTAATCATAAAAAGAATTTCTATTGATCAAATATGAGAAAAAATATTTAGATTTACTATTCTTTCTACTTTAATATGCATTTATTCTTATTCATTTTATTGATCATAAGACACTATACTATGTACAAAAGCTAATTTGTATGTTGACTTCTCATATAAAATCTGTGAATCCAAAAAAACTCATTCTTCTTTTCTTTTTTCAATGAAGAATATATTTACTTTTCATTCTTTTAAAATGCCCTCGAAAAATTATTTCACATAAGATTTCAATAAGAATTTAAACAAATAGAAAATGTTAATTAGTTCTTTTTTTTTTGCTTCTGATAGAAGAAATCGCTTGAAATTCAAATCGATCATATACAACATATTACAGTTCAATCTTATAATTTTAATACATCTTGGTAAAAATTTTTCTTATTCAATATTTTTTTTTCTATACAAAATTTATTATTAGATAAACTATTTCATCATAAAAGCAAACGCTTATTATTATTAATGAAGACTATTTAAAAAAATATTTTCATCGTCCTTGAAGTAAGTTTAGAAGTGAAATAATCCAATATCTGCATATGAACTTTATTTGAAATTTGATTCTTATATTTTGTGAAACACGGTCTGAAAGGATTCCGCTGGATTTGGTGACTTCTTCTGAACTAGTTATGTGCTTAAGATTGATACACTAGTTATAATGCTTGATGGATATTATAGAATATTCATAGAGATATTGTAATTCATAGAATATTCTAAGATAGACTTATGCAGTTTTTTTTAAAACTCAATTCGATCGAGTTACAAGTGCTCTGCAATTTTCTATAATCAGTATTTTTCATTTTAGATTCAAGTTTATTCTTGACTTTTACAATATCGCGTAAGTTCACTGTGGGATTCGTATGATGGTTCTTGTTTAATTTTCTTTCACATTGACTGAAATATATTGTGATTAATATGTTTTATCATCGACGTGCATTAACACTAGGTAGGAATTCGTAAACCGAAATATACATTGATTAATCCTCTTCTTTAGAATCAGAAATTTGAAATAAATTGTCATTGAGACTCATTAACATTCAATGCAAACACGATATTTCATCATATCAAGGAAACCATAATATTCCATGTTGACTATGGTTTAGACTCAAATCGGTCATTAATAGTTAATCCATTACGTGATGTTACATTATCGAATTTATTCGTAACTGTAGTATAATGATAATCATATGTATCAAAGAAGTTTCTTTTCCATTTGATCCAATGATGTATGTAACAACAAATTATAACTTTCAATATCAAGAATAATTATTAGTTTAAAAAAAATGATAAAATTAAAATATCATATAAAGGATCTTATATAATTTAATATTCTCAACACAAACAAACAGGTACACCTGGTTGTTATGTGCCATCATATCGTATAAGTGTCAAAAGAAAACGTATTCACAATAGCAAAGGTCATCAAACTTCAACTATTCATATACATTCAATAAATGAGATATCTCGTTTAAATAAAAAAAAAAAAGCTAGTCAATAAATACATAATAACAAAAAAAATTCGATAGGTTCTAATAAAAATCTTTGCTTTTATTATCATTTACAAGATCTTTTTAGTATTGTTTTGCTTTTTCATTTTTTTCTAATTGAAGATTAGTTGTAACATGACATCAAAAATTGATCGATTTTTTAATCCAAAAGATGGAACTTATGCAAATGTACCAATCATACCAGTACATCCAGAAAAATTTCGTGGAAAACGATTATTTGGCACTAAAGTTCTTATTGGAAATTGGTATGAAGATCAAACAAAGGTAAGCTTTTTTTCTATATTAACAGTTTACTGTTATCTATCGGAGAAATCTTTCATTTCTACAGATTTTCAATCGCTATCATAGAAATTCATGAAAGAAATAACCATATAATTACATACACTCACGAAAAATCGATGTATTCATTCTTCATAAAACAGTAGTTCTCAGCGTCAACTATACATAGAAATAAGGCTTTGTAGGGAGATTAATGAAGTAAGCATAGGCCTAGTCTCAAAATTTTTCTTTTGAAATGAGGAGAATTCGGCGAGAATTTTGACTTTGAATGAAATATTTAGGAAAAAATCGAATCATTTATTATATAAAATTTGAGTTTAAAAGAACAATTCATTCTAGCAATCAAGAAGTGTCAATGCAATTTAGTTTCTTTTAATATGAAATATAAGAATAAAGCGTTAATTTCGGTTGGATTTTCAAAATTAATTTGTTCGATTGTTTCTTTTTGCCTGTTCGACTAACTAGAAGTATAGTAAAATAATGTAAAAAAACCTGAACGAAATCTTCTCAATATCTATCATTTCAGAGCAGAATTGAAAGAACTCTTTCGTATATTTCTGAATCGTTAAAGCCAAGGAAATCAATGCAAACGAGCAAAATAGACTAGCTTTAGTGCTCTAGAAATTGATGACAACTAATTGATTCCATTCTAACCCTGCTTCGAAGTATCTTGGATTCTAGATTTAGAAAAAGTTAAAAAATGCTATCTATGACTGACATCGATTCTTCATTTATTGCTAAAATGAGACTTTAACTTGCATTGACTTTTTCTTTTACCACTGATTAAGAAAGTGAAATAAAACTGAAATTCTTCCTTGTATATTTTTACATTTTGATTATTTAGTTTAAAGAATCAAGTCATAGATCCAAATCATTCTATCATATTGATTATCCAGCACACGTTGGTTCTGTACCAGATACTGTTTTAAGACGTAAATTACTTGGATCACAAGAAGATCGACCTGGAAGAATGATTCTTGATCATCATGATATTGACGATCAAAAACAACTTATTAGCAGGTACAGCAAACCAAAACTGAAGTTCTTTGCTTTTTTCTTCTAATTTCAATATGTATTTGAAATAAAGTTACGATGAACAATACAATAGACGAGGAGCTTATGGAGAACAGCAAGTAAGAAAAATATTATAATTAGTATCGTATTTGATGATTAAATGTCATCAAGGAAACATCAGAACGAAGATGGGCACTACAAGATGATCTTTGGTTACCTGAACGTAGTGATCATCCTCTTGAAAGTACACCAACAAGTTGGGGTCTTGTCGAAAGAAAACGTTCACAAAGTCAAAGTCTTCGACGTCAACGTACAATGCCTGAAATAAGGTAACCACGTCTCTTCGAAATAAAAGATCATGACTTTCTTCTATTCCAAGCTAGGTTTTTGCTAAGAAAAACATTTTTTTACTAGAAAAAATGGCAGTTCTCTTGTGGAGATTTTCTAATATAGGACGTAAAGCTTCCGGCCTGTCAGACAAGCGAGAAAAAGCGAAAATTCTGTACTCACACACTTTTATAAAATGAACTAAAACTAACTAATATGCTCGTGACATATGTTGATAGTAGACTTGAAATAGCTAAGAAATTCAAGAAAATAGTCTTGACATAACATTGCAGTACACTGAGGTACGCAACTTTCGTTTTTTGTCTCTTATTGTTAGGCCGTCATCTGAGAACAGAGTTCAAAGTTTTAGCTTGATCCTTACATTTTGGAAATCGAATGTTGATGACTGTCCATATTATTCGAGAGTATTTTGACAAATTCATTCGGTTTCAATAATAAATGCTTGAGCTGAACGTTAATTTAGTGTTGTATGACTTGCATTGACTGACAAAAGAACTTGTTTAGATTCAAAACAATTTCATAGTAAGTTTTGTGTTCTTGTTGTTGCAAAAATTTATTGTCAAATGTAAATATCCTTGTCTGTTATTATAAGTATTACTTATTCCCTATATTTTCTGTTATCTCTTCATTGTATGCTTAATTGTATATTGTTTTTGTTATCATGATCACATTTCTGATATAATCAATAACATGAAGTTAGTTCAAATATTTCTTCTTTGAAAAATAGTTATGATGCTTGTTATTTTGTTGTTTCGTACAAGAATTTATTATCATCTTATCTTTATAGAAATAAATTAAGTAGACAATTGGATTCCGAACCCGGACAAGTCAGAAAATTACTCTGTACGCAACTCTGATACGATAACTTTTTATTCTGGCAGGAGAGGAGATTAATTATCTAAATATCTTTATGTCTTATTTATTCATTTCATATTTAGTGAATATACTGATCGATATGTTGCTCATCCACGAGAACTATATTCTTCATTGAAAAATTTTGCTGTACCACGCATTTATACAAGAGCCATTGATCGTACAAATTCATTAAATAAAGATATAAATTGTCGTTCAATATCACATTGTAGTCGTCGAATACCAATAACTTCTGATGCTATGGAAACTAATTATATATATTCACTTCGACGAAATACAAATGTGCCACGAGCATATTTTTATTTAGGAAAAATACCCAATCAAATGAATAATACAATGCGAAATAAACTTCCCTTGTTAACAGAATCAACTAATCCTGTTCCACCATTGACATCATCAATGGAACCAATTCAAAGTCAAGAACAAATTGCTTGAGTAAAAATAATAATAATCAAATTTTATATTTATTTTAACCTTATATATTATTTTTTTGATTAAATATAGAACCATTATCTATAGAGTTTTACATTTCAATAATATTGATATACGTTTCACTTGTCACATTATGTATATACTTGTTTCAGTAGTCTACTAGTAATTGAAGTGTTCATTTTGAAATAATTCAAATGGAATCAAATTTTTATGGATAAACTTATTCATTAGCAACTTAACACAAAAAAGGACATTGATCTTCACTTCATGTGTTTTAGTTTGAAAAAAAGGACTCTGAATTGATGTAGCGCTTTTTAAAATTAAATAATACAATCTATAGGCAGTTTTTGAGACTAAAAAATCGATTTACTTTTTGTTAGTGTCTTGACGAGATACATATATATAGAAACAATGGTTAAAGATATATACGTTAATTATCAATAAGTTAATTAGTTGTCAAGTAGAAGAGTCAACATTTTTAAAAATGTTTATGTTGCAAAAATTAATTCAGGAAAATAATCCTTAAAAAGTGACTATGTTCTGTTCTACCAGAAGTGTTCCATATAGAAAATAAAAGTTTATTATTATTCATGTATTATTAAGTCAAAACAATCTTCAATAGAAAACTAGAGACTAATACCTGTTAACTGTACTGTACATCGATTGCACTATGGTCTATCAATTCTGACATTTCACAATCGTTTCAGTCCTATTTGTTATGTATAATCTATTCTTTTTATCTCTTCCTGAACATCAGTCTTCAACTCCTAGGTTGAAAGAGCACGATCGAAAACGGTCGTATGTGACAAAATATGGCAAAACACGGTAGTGTCGTGTACGGCAGACGAAGACGGTCGTCGTCAGTGATGGCGTATTCGGAAAGTGTCGAGGGTGTAACACCTTCCTTTCCCAATAATCCGAAAACTTTAAAGATTTTGCTTGGTTCGGTAGACGAAAAATACTATGGACGTACGAAATTTTTGCTTTTTTTATCACAATAGCTTGATAAAAAAATTGTTTAAGCCCCAAAAATTAAAAATATTGTTTTCACCTCCCAAATCTCGCAGCATCTTTCTTGCAAGTGATCATGAAATAACCAAAGATATGTAATTACATTTACATGCGAAACAAGTTTCGATTCATTCAATGTCGGTGTACTTCGTCGATCAAGTTATCTGGAAAATGATAGTCGATCTGTTTTTTTCTCAATGGCAAATTCCTATCATTGTCTTGGGTGTGAGCGTAGACGTTGAACATGCAAGGATTCACATCGACAGCGCCAGCCAATACTCACACCCGGACGCACTCTCCATGTTTAATGTATTTCGGTGTGGAAATATTAATGTACATTTTCTTATTATAATTATACGAAACGCAAAGGAGGCCAAAAACATAGCGGAAGAGTATAATGAAAAAAACAGAACACGAAAAATGATGAGCGCATCACTAATAAACGTATTGCCTACCTTATGAAAGTGTCACACTTCATTAACGCATGTATGCGTTGACAAGTTGACAGAAATTAAGCAGCTTCGTCAACGATAAATAGATAAGAGAGCCGTTCGCGAAAACGAATAAAAAGAAATTAATACACTTCAATATTATTCATCACGTGCGTATACTTGATTTTCAAGGTGGCGAGTTGGCCAGAATAAATTAGACTGTTCGTATTTTTAATATTTCTTCTCTATTCGTCACTCGACTAATACTTCATTTCATCAAAACAGTGCTTAAGATTCTGTATAAAATCGTATACTTTATTTAACAATTACGGTCTTCTCCATCTTTTTTGGATCAAACGTATTCATACAATGAAATCAAGTACAGAATGTAAAATTTTCTCATTTTCAAATTTTTTTTTTTTGGACAGAACACTTTATTCCATTTATCGATGCTGCCTTCATCGTTATATGTTCCCAATTCATAGTTTCAACCATTTCATCTCGTAAACTGTAATCTAGTGAACATAAATCAGACAGATTCAGTAACTAATGATTCTTAGGAGTCATTGCACGGAAGAGGCGATCACCTGATGTCTCGGGTTTCAATGAAACTTTGTACATATGTAGCCCCAAATGAGATACAAAAATGACACAAATTTTTCCTCTAAAACCATTCTCTCGTTGAGATATTGAATTCACAATATAGGCACCCTTATGTACAAAATAAAGATAACCAATGCAGTACTCATTCGTTATATTTTTCAACAACAATATTTATATGTTAGGCAGCATTGAGATATTATATAGATCTTAGATATACCCGCTACCTTGTGACAATTTGGATACAACTATAATTCACTTGCAGAAAGCTGCACAGCCAAGATCATCAAGTTCTGTTGAATGTTAGGTATTCTTGTAGAGAACAAAAGTTTATGAATTTTAACACAAACCGTTTCAAAAATTATTGAACGTTCATTTTTTTTAAAGGACGTTTTACGAAAAGTGTAAAAAGTCAGTCTTTCGGCCAAGAAGTAGAGCCTTGACGGGACTAGCTCTCTAAGACGGCTCGACCAATTGAGCTAAAATTTTATTATTGACATATGTATTAATGAGTTCTGTTTATGATACAATTTTCAATTCAAAACACTGAGTCCTTAATTTCTACGCAAGTTTAGTCCTGCATGACTCATCATTAGAATAAGATAGAGATCTAAAATTTTCATTGGAGCCAGAGCTCATAGTGTTGTATGTAAATCGAAAATTTCAGTCCTGTGTACCATTCTTGTTGGTCCTTAGAGTTTTCTGAAAATCGGGCTTTTGGCGAAAATCTTCATACTGTTTTAAGGGTATCTCTCAAAACATGAGTTCATTTTCGAGATAATTTTACAATAATAGAAGGTCCATCTATGCTCTTTAATCTCATAAAAAAATCACCGTGGAGTCTCCTGATACGACCTAGAAAAGGGATCATCTTTGAAAACCTAAATGTGAGTAGCTTGCAACTAAGAATGCCCTCATTATCATCTGAGAAAGACAACTCAAAGTTAGTCTCACAAAAACACGGAAATTCCTCAAAGTAATCTGACTGTACTGCAGTCCAGGGGGATCAGCATTTCAAGTCTGGTTCTACAAGTTTCTATTACGCAAAAATAACGACAGAATATGTTTTCGAGGGCGCTTTTCGAGATATTCCATATCTCGAGTTCGAAAGCGAAAATCGATTTTTCTGATCTCTGGAAACCACGAACCTTGTTTGAGATCTCAACCCAAGATGATAACTTGTGTCTTCTCAATAGATAGATACTTAGATAAAACGACTAAGCTGATAAATATTTAAGCATTGGAATTTTAGGTGTAAGATTCTGTATTCTGTTAAGGGCCTCATGTGAGCCTTCAAAGGTGACCTCTTCTCAAGGCCATTTCCTGAGATCCAATACTGATTTTCCTTTTAGATTGTAGACCACAGATAGTGTCTTCAACTTACAAAACAAAACCTGTTCGTCAAAGCATTCCATATTTTAGGAGATAGACCAGACTCAACACTGAATTTTTCGCCAAAAACCTGTGCTTTCTACAAGGATATCTTAAATTCAGCAAAACTTGATGATTTTTGCTGGACAGCTCTTTTGCAAGCGAATCCTATTTTATCCAAATTTAGCTCATATATACACAAGAAAAGTCTTTGTTCGGATCAAGAGCAGAAGTTCAAAATTCTGAAAATTACTGCTAATAGCTAGGGTTCAATAGTACTTAGTTCTAAAGCGAGGGCTCATAGATTACTCATAAGCGATATAAATCCTGGTCATACGTTAGAGGGTATATCTAAGACCTATATAAACCTCTATATTGCCTAGCTCATTGACAAGTGATTTGGCGTATGCTAGTTTGTATGATAGCTGCTCTCGTATGTATCTACAAAATTTCATGACTAAAAACATTGTTGTTGAAAAATAGCGAAATATACAACGAATGAGTACTGCATTGGTTATCTTCATTTGTTACCTGGCATGAACATGCCTCTATTGTGATTTCAATATCTTAACAAGAGAACGGTTTTAGAAGAAAAACATTGATCTTCTTTCGGTTGCCTCTTCTGTGCAATGCCGATTAAGTATGAATGCAAAACAAATGGCCTGTACATCGTTTTCCACTGATGTAATGCGTGGAAGTCTTTAAAAACTTCTACTGGTATCTAGTTTGCAAAATTAGCCTGCTCTTTTGATGCAAATCAGTCATGACTGACGATTTGATTTTATGCTATTGCAGGTGTGAATCGGCTTTACATTCATACTCGCAGACCGCACTTTAAAAAAATGCGTTTATGAGTTGGCAATGCAACATAAACTCTTTTTTTTTTTCGTTTTCGAAATACTTAACATGCCCTTTTTCCAAATCATAAACGAAAAATTCTTTTATTTTATTCGCCACATACGATAAAGACGGGTTTTCGTTCATTATTCTTCGAATTTATTTCAGCGCACATTTACATTCACACCCCATGATTTTCGTCGTGGTACTATGAGAAAAAATATTTATTTGTCAAATAAGTGTATTCGGCAGCATTCAAATCTGTGACGAATTCACCCTTAGTAATTATTACTAAAATATACATTTGTGAAATTCATTGTAAAGAGTTCGTCAATAATGGGTTTTTTTGACTTACACGAACCAGAAGATGGACGCGATCGATTCTTTCTGTATGCAATGGTTGTTCTCCCATTCGTTTCCGCTGGTTCCTACGCCTTCGATGCATGGTATAACTATGTGTATCATCCTGTAGGATATACCTATGTAGGACTATTGTCGACGATTGTCATTATCTTCTCCTATTTACAATATTGTGCTCCAATTCGATCTCGGCGCTTGTTGGCTATCTATCATATTCTTCTGTGGGTTGTAACCGAAGTGGCTACACTAGGCTACTTGATCTTCTATATCGAGAAACGCGAAAAACTGAACATTTTTATTTATGTTGGCTTTTTTATAATCGAAACTTATTTTACGATCGGTCTCCTATATTGTCGAGTTTTCAAGAATCTGAAATCACATATCGTCGTCGAA